ATGAAGCGGCTCATTGGCCGTGCAGACACTGATCCTGTGGTTCACGCTAGCAAGAACCTTCCTTTCTTGGTTCAAACTCTTGACATTGGAGTCAGACCGTTTATCGCGGCTTTGGTGAACAATGCTTGGAGATCTACGACTCCTGAGGAAGTTTTAGCGATATTCCTTGTGGAATTGCGTCTAATGGCTGAAGCTCAGTTGAAACGGCCTGTGAGAAATGTGGTACTCACGGTTCCGGTTTCGTTTTCTAGGTTCCAGCTCACACGGATTGAACGTGCTTGTGCTATGGCTGGACTTCATGTACTTCGTTTGATGCCAGAACCAACTGCAATTGCGTTACTTTATGCGCAACAGCAGCAGATGACTACGCACGATAACATGGGAAGCGGAAGCGAGAGGCTTGCGGTTATATTCAATATGGGTGCTGGTTATTGCGATGTTGCTGTTACTGCAACTGCTGGTGGTGTTTCACAGATAAAAGCTTTAGCTGGAAGCCCCATTGGAGGAGAAGACGTTTTGCAGAACACAATGCGCCATATTGCGCCACCAACTGAAGAAGCTTCGGGGTTGCTCCGTGTAGCGACACAGGACGCTATTCACAGGCTATCGGATCAAGAAAATGTCCAAATTGAAGTGGATTTGGGAAACGGTAACAAGATTTCCAAGGTTCTTGATAGATTGGAGTTTGAGAAAGTGAACCAGAAGGTATTTGAGGAATGTGAGAGACTTGTTGTGCAGTGTCTGCGAGATGCGAGAGTCGAGGTTGGTGATATCGATGATGTGATAATGGTTGGAGGGTGTTCTTACATCCCGAAAGTAAGAACTATTATCAAGAACGTGTGCAAGAAAGACGAGATTTACAAAGGCGTGAATCCGTTAGAAGCTGCGGTTAGGGGAGCTGCCTTGGAAGGTGCGGTGACTTCAGGGATTCATGATCCGTTTGGGAGCTTAGATCTCTTAACCATACAAGCCACACCTCTTGCAGTTGGAGTAAGAGCTAACGGAAACAAATTCATACCCGTGATTCCGCGTAACACGATGGTTCCAGCGCGGAAAGACCTCTTCTTCACAACGGTTCAAGACAACCAGAAAGAAGCTCTGATCATTATATACGAAGGAGAAGGAGAGACTGTTGAAGAGAACCATCTTCTTGGGTATTTCAAGATAGTTGGGATTCCGCCGGCGCCTAAAGGTGTTCCGGAGATCAATGTTTGTATGGACATCGATGCGTCGAATGCTTTACGGGTTTTTGCAGCTGTGTTGATGCCGGGATCTTCGACTCCGGTGGTTCCTGTGATTGAGGTGAGGATGCCTACAGTTGATGATGGACATGGTTGGTGTGCTCAAGCTTTGAATGTGAAATATGGATCTACTCTTGATTTGATTACTCTTCAGAGGAAGATGTAAGATTAAAATAAAATGGTGTTAAAGTGATAGATTTTAGATTATGATGTAAGATATGAGAATGTTTCGTATAGAGAAGAGTTTGTGTGTTTTGGGTTTGTTGTTGAAGTGGTAAACAATGTTTATCTGTGTAATGAAGTAATAATGTTTCTGCAGATTTGTATAATAAACTAGAGAGTTTGGGCACCCTCTTTTTGAGCTTCTGATTAAAACTTTGAGAAACTTGGAATGTTTACACTTTTATCGAGTTGATTTCATTTGCTGATCTGTGTAGGACATTATATTGAATGAAATTTTTTCCTATTGGGTGATTAATAGGTTAAAAAGAATGATAAGACCGCTGAAAGGAGGGGTCGAACCTCCGACCTTGTGGTTAACAAAAGTAATTGTATAATTTTGCCGAAAATATCATGCATGATGCATGTTTCCATTTATAAATAAGTAAATAAAAATATCTGAAAAAAACTATGACGGATATTGAGGGTGTGACGGCGGGGTCTCAAGATGCAACTATGACGGATATTGGGGAGAAGATCCGACCACCGGGAGAACCACCAGATGTATCAGCTTCGTGGGTGAAGAAGGTCACGGGTAGTGGTGCAGGTGGGATTCCGGTACCGGAGAAGTTTCTGGATGATGAGTATGTATCTGCAAGGCTTCAGTTGGAGTTTCCGCACGGGGAAGATGGTGAGCCGGTGATAACCATAGGGTCGGAAGTCCTTGAAGTGATGAATGGGTTATGGAAGCAATGCATGGTAGTTAAGGTGTTAGGGAGAAATGTACCTATTGCCGTGATGAGTCGTCGTTTGAAGGAGATGTGGCAGCCGACGGGTGCAATGGTGGTGATGGATCTCCCGAGACAGTTTTTCATGGTTCGATTTGAAAAGGAGGATGAATACTTGGCGGCGTTGACTGGAGGACCATGGAGAGCTTTTGGAAGTTATCTTATGGTGCAAGCTTGGTCCCCAGAGTTTGATCCAATGAGAAATGAAATTGTTACAACACCTGTTTGGGTTCGATTGGCAAACATTCCATTGAACTTTTACCATAAGTCGATCCTGATGGGAATTGCTCGTGGTTTGGGAAAGCCAGTGAGAGTAGATTTGACAACGTTAAACTTCGAAAGAGCAAGGTTTGCAAGAGTATGTGTGGAGGTGAATCTAACGAAGCCTTTGAAGGGTACTGTCATGATTAATGGGGAGAGATATTATGTGTCATACGAAGGGCTCACGAATATCTGCTCATCTTGTGGCATCTACGGGCACTTGGTGCACTCTTATCCTAGAGGGGTTGTGGAGAAGGGGATTGAGGCACCTGTGACGAATGCGGCAGGGGAAACAAGTGAATCAAACCAGGGAAGTGATGGTTTTACGCTGGTTAGGAAAACAAACCGCCGGGGGAAGTCATCGGAAAACAAGTTGGCTATCGGAACTGGTGGATCAAAGCCAGATTTGGGAAGAAATCTCCGGGATATTTCGGGAAAGAACAATATCGAGAATATTGTGACAGAGAACAGATTTGGTAGTTTGAATGAGGAATTGATTTCGTCGGAGATGAGGGAAGTTGCCATAGTTGGCGAGGCGGATAAGGAAAATACAATTATGGTGGATCGCGTGAATAATGGAAAGAGTGGGGTGCAAGGAAAGGGATGGAAGGCGGGAGGAAGTTCAAAACAGAGTGTTAATGGGGCAAAAGAAGGAAAGGGTGCGAATCGGACTGGGCCAACACCGGGGCTGATAATTGGGCCCAAAGGGAAATATACTAGACAGACTCGGACCACCAGAGGTTTAGGCTATGCCCCAAAAATCAGAGAAACAGAGACTTCCCCTTCGGGGAAGAGAATGAGAGTAGAACAGGGCACAACATGGCAGTTGGGAGGAGCCTTTGCGAGTGTTCGTAATGGTGG